GGCTGGCATGTGGTGCTGGGGGATTGAACCGCGGTCCCTGTGCTTTGCTAGGTTTGTTCAAAGTAGGTGCTTTAGACCACTGAGCCATCTCGCCAGCCCCTCTCGGCATCTTTTTTTATTTTATTTTTTATTTTATTGGGGGCGGAACCGGGGATTGAACTCCGGCCCTTGCGCTTGCTAGGGAAGCGCTTATTCTACTGAGCCGTCTCCCCGGCCCCTCCATCTTACTCTTAACCTCCCTGCTTCCTGCAATTCAACAGGAGCTCAGCGAGATACGCTGGGAGGTATAATTCCCTTATATCGTCTTTGGAAGTTCTGATGGCGCCCCTGTGACACTCTGACATTCCTGCCTCAGGCCTCCAGCTGAAACCTGCATTTAAACCAGATCTTCTGGCGTGCGATTGAGAAATAAGGACCAATCCGACCGCTAAAGTAGGACGCTAGGAACAGCGATCTGCTTGTCCCCGGCCGTACGGAGGACGGCTGCCGGGTAGGACAGCCCCAGCCTCGAGCAACTTCAACTGTTTAGGAAGGAAGAGGCCGTAGTGGTCTGTAGCTTTCGGACTTCCGATCGCCGGGATTTCCCAGCCGCAAGGGATTTCCCCACTTCGCCACCTCTCAGTTAGTGGGCTCGAGTGTCACCCCACTAGCTGATAAGTCTTAGCTTGGTGAATTTCACTTTTTTTTTTCCCTCCTCCAAGACTTTCGAAAGTAGAGCTAACTTCTTTAGTTCTCTTTGGGCTCGTTCAGGCTTGCTCCCCCCTCCGATCGCTCACAATGGAACAGTCCGACAGCCCTTCAGGTCCCCGGGAGAGGACACTCTTAGTCTTCAGGCAAAACCAATCGGTCGCCGACTGTCATTAGGCGAGAGGGACCTGGAGATCGAGGGGCGGGGACGAGCCGTTAGTGCTGCCTGGTCCCTGCGTGCCCTGCGTGCGGCAGCTCTTTGCGTGTGCGTAGCGCGTCTACCTCCCTTTCCGAGTCCTCGGCCGCCATGGCGCCCGTGGTTAGTATGCCTCCGCATGAGGTCTTAGTTCTTCCAGACGCGTGTGGGTCCCGCTGGACCAGCTGTGGCCTGGGCACGCGCGGGAGGGCACCGTGCTGCGTCCGGCACTTGGGGACTGGCGGGCCGGTCGGGGCCAGTGGCGGGGCCCAGCACGTTGCTGGCAGAGGAAGCCGCGTTCTGGGGCCCGTGAGGGAGATCGGGGGGCTCTCGGAGCCCGCGGCCGCAGCTCAGATGCCTCCCGGCGTTCAGGAGGGACTCCAGCCTGGACTGGCCCGCTTGGCCGGGCCCTGGCCTTGAGCCTGGTTGCCTAGGCCGGGGGCGGGGAGCAGCGGGAGACCTACCTGCCACCCCGGGAGTCGCGCCGTCTGGAGCCCTTGGCCGAGATGAGGGAGAGTGGACGGCCGCGGGTGGCTTGGCTTCGGAGAGGCCCGAGGTTGAGCGCCCCGAGGATCTGACCTAACTAGGGCGCAGCCTTGCGGCTGTTTCTGGTGGTGGCGCGGGCCGCGTCCTAACTCTGCCTTGGCCCGGCTCTGGGGCGACCTCGTGCCGCGCGGCTTGGAGGTTGCCATCCTCCCGGATATGTTGAAACAAGTTGGTTTTGAGGCTATTTTGTTCTTCGTTTGGGATTTTTCTGGTTGGCCTTTTTCGGCTCTCTGGAGTCTTTCTGCCCGGATGAGATTGCAAATGCGGCTGTGAGTTCGTGTGTTTCTCGTTTAAAACCTTGGTACCTATGGGAGCTGCGAAGCCCATTGTAGGTGGGTCTGCCTGCTGGGCGTGTGTTTCAGGGGCTAGATTTTAAAATCCTCTTGTTACTAGCAAGAGATACTGTAAAATGATTTTTTTGTGTGTACCTAAGTTGATCCAGTTGTTTTAGGTGTTCTTTTAAACAGGGACGCAAAGACGCGTTCTTGTAAAAGTATTTTTAGGTTCTACAAACTTTCTAAGGTGCAAATACAGAAAATTAGGTTGTGCCAGATAGCTTTATCATGCTCTCAGGAATTTCTCGAGGACTAGACTCGAACCTTGTAAGATGTGCTTTTCGGGGTGTTCTAGAGATGGTAACTTACAGATTAAGGCAATTAGAAGGCCAGACATTGTCGACAGCAGTGTTGAAGTAAAGTCCTACATTTGAGCCTCGATCTTGTCCCAGCTACAGTGGATCGGCAGCTGTAGTTCTGTGCAGATGTCTGTGTTGTGCCTGAGAAGGTGGGGAAAACGGGATTAAGGGAGAAGAGCAAAACTTTGAGGTTGCTGTCTCCAGCCTGAGGGTTGATGTCATCCAGCTGTGTTTTCATGAAGGTTCCTGTGTTCTAATCCTGGCTTCTCAGTGTGTTTG